CGGAAGACTTAATAAGAACGAAAAATGGATACATCACCGCTTTAGAGAACCTGATGTCTCTTTTTTTTGTGACCCACGGCCTTCAGTGCTGTAATAACTTCATAATCAACTTGTTTGTCACCTCTGCATAAATGTCCCTGAGGCCCAAGTAAAGCATCTCTAACCAAGAAACTATAAACAGGTCGCTAAGCAACTGTCACCTGGCAGCAGGCTCCTTCCCTCCAATTGAGTTGAAACATGGCCCAGAGGAGTCAGAAGCCAACAGATGATTCAACTAAATGTGTGTCCACAAAAATCTAATCATCCTTCTCATAAAGTTTTCACCATAGTCTTCATCAGGAGATTATCTACATTCACCAGAGTTTCAAATGGGACAAAATCAGTGTTCCTAGTGTCACATTTCTGTCCAACAACTGTAGCCGTTTGCTACTTATCTATATTTGACATTCCCAGGAACGGGTCATGGATCCTTCCAGCTCTGTGTCTGACATCGTCAGCCTCCACCAAAGCAGGTAAAGTCCCTCTAAATACAGACGTGATGTAGAACACCAGGTGTGACAATAGGGGTTCCTGCTGTGCCTACTGACACTCCCAGCATGTGGGGAATAAAACCCACCAGGCAACCTCCTCACTGAATTTCTCTCAAGTGCAGAAAACAGAATTATGTATCATGTTGGTTTTAAATTACATGCAAACAGAGCAGTGGCTGCGAGAAGAAATATTCATTTGTGACTCACCCACAATGGTTATATTGCAAAGAGAAATGAAACCATTCATATTGCAGCTCTTTTCTGTAATATTAGGGGCAACATCATTCAAGGATTCTTAGATCCATACTTTATGACAGGAAGTACAACTTTAACTCACGATATCTGGTTCTTACAAGTGAATTAAAGCAGCTTCTTCTGCTGAAGTTTTTTTTTCTTACATAAAATATAGATACAATTTCAGAGTAGTTGCAAAAATGGCATAACCTGACTCCGCCAGATGGATTTGCTCCGCATATCCATCTGGAAACCTTCCGTTGAAGTAATTTTGGGAAGGGGCGAAAATACTGGTTAGCTGATTGGCCTATGTTGGTGATAGACGGGCCAAATAAACCAATCAGATCAACGAAGCATATGAAGTACTAACTGAGCGACGACGAAAACACAACCACAAGCCAGGCTACTCTTGCTGAAACCAGTCGGGAGAAGAGCAAAAACATCTTTTCCTCTGAGAAAAGCCTCCAGAGCAGTGTTTTGCTCTTCTTTCAGTGAAGAAATACTCTGTAATCCGATAAAACTTGCTCGATAGCCACGCTAACGCTAGTTTCATCGGCTGAAGCCGCCATGTTCTTTAGACTGAACTGTCGCGCTTCTCGTTGCGTCGCACCTCAACCCGCCTCAAAGCCAACGCTGATTGGACGTTCGTTTGGTGAACGGCTCCAAATTTTCTTCAACGGAGGGTCTCCAGACTGATCTGCGAGTGAAATCTTGAAAGCTCGCGAGATTAGGATGGTTTCATGAGGCTAAAAATGGCAGGAATTTCCATGTTGTACTATTGAATATTAAGAACTTTAAAAGCAGAGATTCCGAATACAAAAAGAAGAAATGGGATTGACATAAAAAAGTTAGGTTATCGAGTCAGTAATTCTGGTTCTGCTGGAGGTTTCTTCTTGTTAAAAGGGAGTTTTTCCTCTCCACTGTTGCTACAAGCATGCTTAGTGTGAGGAATTGTATTTGAGTCAATGAGTCGATGCAATCAGCTGGTTTTCCTTAGATAGAAACTTTGAATCAATCTGACTGGATGATCTGGTGAACTGGAAAGTGCCTTGAGATGATGTGTGTTATGAAATGGCGCTATAGAAATAAAGTGAATTGAAGTAATTGCCTAAAAACTATTGTTAGGCTGCATTCAGACTGAGCAGATGCACAGTGTTCACACCCTGGACCACGTCATCGATTAGGAGGCGTTTAGCTGCAGGAAGCCGACACCCCGCCCACATGAAAACCTCAGCAAATAGACTGAATGGTTAGAGCTTCATTACTGCAGGTTTGACCGGTTAAAATAACCATTTGTAAAATAATAAAGAAAATAAAGGTAATGTTTGCTGCTGTTGTTTCAAAGATATTAAGGATTATTTTGTAGGTCATCCAGAGGTCAACTACCCCCCGGCCCAATAAGCTCAGAATTTAATAAAAATTATCTACTTTTTCAGTCCTAATGAAAAAGTGGATAAAACTATAATTCAAGCTGATTTGAATTTTAAGATGGAATCCTTTTTAGTCTCTGCCGATGATGTCACCATCCCAGCAGATGTTAGCGCTGCTGTTTCAGAATAGGAACTGATTGCATAACGTCACATGTCATTCTTGTGCTGGCAATGAATATAACTTTGGGCCTGTTTACCTTCTTTAGTGGCAGGAATGATTGTTTCAAAAATTTTTTGTAGTTTATCCGCCTCCCATTTCTTCGGTCTGGGCTACTTTCACACTGCAGGCCTTAATGCTTAACTCCGATTTTTGTGTGAAATTCTATTTTTTTTTTGGTTTGTAGTTCACATTTCCAAATATATGCAAGCTTTAAAAGAACTCCTGTGTGAACTGCATTCAATTTAATTCAATTAAATTCAGTTTATTTCTATAGCGCCAATTCACAACACAAGTCATCTCAAGGCACTTTACAGTTCAACCAGATCAAACAGTCAAAGTGATTCAAAGTTTTCTGATTGCATCGACTCATTGACTCGAAGCCAATCTCTCACACTAAGCATGCTTGTAGCGACAGTGGAGAGGAAAAACTCCCTTTTAACAGGAAGAAACCTCCAGCAGAACCAGGCTCAGTGTGAGCGGCCATCTGCTGAGGCCCACTGGGGTTCAAGGAGACAATTCATACAACGCAAGTTACCATGTGTGATTCACCCCTGGCTGCTTCACCGCCCCTCCCCACGCAGTTTACATAGGGATACTTTGTAAATCCACCGCCCTCACTGCAGACACCGCGTTTGGTCTGAATCTTGTCTGCACCTTAAGGGGGACTGTTGCTCCAAGTGGTGAAGATGCCTTCATGGAGGGCATCCACTGTCTGGAACTGCTCTCCACTTTGTAACCCCGCCATCCATCCAACCCTAAATGTTCTTAATTTGGTTTAGCTCAGGGGAATTCTGAGATTGGCCCAAAAGAATGATGATTTTTCTCCGTAAGAAGTTCTTTGTAAGGCTGTGAATTTGCACAGACAATGGCCTTCCATCATGAGGGACACCCCCTGAAATATCTCCTCACAGATAGCTGCTGTTTAATGGTTCTGCACAGCATGGAGCTCCATTACTAAATTGAGAGAATAAGCTGGTGGCCCTTTTACTGTGCTGTGTCGAATACATCTCAGGTTCTCATTCCAGTAACGCTGGAAGCCATCAAGCTTCCTTTTTTTCCTCATCAGAGAATAAAACTTTCTTCCCCCTTTTAGTGTCCGGTATTTGGTGCTTTCCTGCAAACTCCAAACAGACAGTTAGGTGGCTTTGAAGGAGGTGAGGCAATTTGGGAACTATTTTGTTCTGTCTCGGATGCTGTCTGATGTCATGGGCCTGCAGGTGGCGGCAGTGACAGGCTTAAGGGAATAGTACACCCAAAACATGATTAGCCTTCATTTTCTACTCACCCCCATGCTGAACAACACTCTGGAGTACTTTTTTGATATCTCAAATGCATCTGGAGATCTGGGAGGCTTCTTACTGTCTGCTGACATTCAAATAATGGAGGCCTATGGCGCCCGAGGCAGAAAGGTCCATAAAAGTCCACAAAAAATGTGTCAATATTCCTCCATACTGCTCGTCCAATGTATTCCAAGTGTCCTGAGTGGGTAGCATCCAGAATTTACTCGAAACGAAGTCGTTTAGAATGTTTTTAGAGCATAAACAGTAGTGTATAGGATTTCCTGAAAGCGTGCGCCTGCGAGTTCACAACGCTACGGAAGCCGGCAGACCAAACCAGATGAAAGTGCGCATTCAGCGTCTGCTCTGCCGATAATGCAAGCGTAGAAGAAGAAATGTGCTGTTTACCTGTGCAAAAAAAGAAACAACGAAAGAAAAATGTCTGAGGACTTCAGTGTTGAGGAAGAGCATGAGTTCTTTGCCGAGCTGAATGCGCACTTTCATCTGGTTTGGTCTGCCGCGGTTTCCGTAGACTCGTGAACGCGCTTTCAGGAAATCCTATACACTACTGTTTATGCTCTACAAACATTCTAAATGACTTCGTTTCGAGTAAATTATGGACGCTACCCACTCAGGACACTTGGAATACATTGGACGAGCAGTATGGAGGAATATTGACACGTTTTTTGTGGACTTTTATGGACCTTTCTGCCTCGGGCGCCATAGACCTCCATTATTTGAATGTCAGCAGACAGCAAGAAGCCTCCCAGATCTCCAGATGCATTTGAGATATCAAAAAAGTACTCCAGAGTGTTGTTCAGCATGGGGGTGAGTAGAAAATGAAGGCTAATCATGTTTTGGGTGTACTATTCCTTTAATTTGGGCCGAGGATAGTCTGGTGTCTTGATGGACTTGAACCTTCCTGCTCAGAATGGGTGAAACTGTTGGTGGTCTATTATCTGTTTTTTTTTTTTTTTTTTTTGCTTCATGTCTCCCAGGTCTCACTTTGTCCAACCACAGCATCCAAGGCTCGCTGTCCGAAGTTCATCTACCAAACCTCGTTCAGAGAAAAAGCTTTCTGGCCTTTGCCATCTGGAGGTCATAAATTAGAGAGGCTCAGTTTATCCTGAGCTATCTCTATACTTATGCTGTTATAGGCTTAGACTGCTGGAGGACATAGGGAACCCTATTTCATGATTCAGAATTATCCCCAAAAAGTATCAGCACTGATGTCAAAACAATCTGTATCGACATCAGCCTCCCAAAAAAGAAACATATTAATAGAGAAATAAAAAAATACATATTTTAAAAACTCTTCAAGTACAAAAGGGTCACAGTAAGTATGAAACGGTCCTAAAATGTGTCTTACCACTCCCACAGAGAAGTAATTGTTGATAATACTGTAAGGAACAGGGTCTCCCTTCTCCTCCTTGTCATCAGGAACGATGTCAATATTCCAGCGGTCCAACACCACTTCTATGCTGTGTTCAATGTCCCGCAGGACTTTCAGCAAGCTGCCCCCTTCATAGCCTGCCAGAAACAGACACAGAGGACAAAGAAAGAAAAGAAAGACATGCTCTTCAATAATAGTTACTTTTAAAAAAAAAATACCACTTACAGTATCTACAGTACGCAGAATGTCTTTCTTTTTATGTTATGTTGAAAGTAGTCCATATGTTTCCCTTTTGTAGCATTAAGGTGTGAGTACACTTGACAAATTTGAAACTAATCATATTGAGGGAGTAAAAAAGCTTGCTTCTGAAATGAGACATTTAAATTTCACATGTAACCAGAATGTTCAATTTTTCCTGCCATTTGGTGCTTTTGCTTCCAGAAACTGGCAGAGATGGCAAAAGTACTCACTTTCCGTACTTGAGTAAAAGTACAGATACTTGTGTTAAAAAATACTCTGGTAAAAGTGGAAGTACTGATTAAACTTCTTTACTCAAGTAAAAGTAACAAAGTACAGGCTTGTAAATTTACTTAAAGTATAAAAGTAAAAGTAGAAACCACTTTTTTCATGCCGTTGCCTACATTTTAAATGGATGTCTGCCAATAGGACTAGATCTCCGTTGTGTTCATTTTCAATCATCTCGTCGTCCATGCTACTATGCTAACGCCACTGCCACCAAGCTGCAATGATTTGCCGCCAATGAATACCGCCGAATCTGTCGATTCATCTTGTAGTGGTGCGTCAAATGCAACGTAGATTCCCATCCAATTAGATTGAATTTGGTATTGATGACGTGAAAAATAATAACGGTAACTCCATTGAAATGATTCAAAACTAAAGTAACGAGACAATTTTTTAAAATGTAAGGAGTAGAAAGTACAGATATTTGTGTAAAAATGTAAGGAGTAGAAGTAAAAAGTCGCCATAAAAATAAGTAGTAAAGTAAAGTAAAAATATCAGAAAAATCTACTTGAGTACAGTAACGAAGTATTTGTACTTCGTTACTTCCCATCTCTGGAAACTGGTCACCATTCTGTAAATCCTGTTGGTCATTAGCACCACTCAATAATTTGATCTAGTGTAAGAAGTCTTACCACTGAGTCAATGTATGATGGAAAAATTCAGCAAATTATAAAATGTCCCAAAAATGGTTTAACAAAATGTCTTATATCAGACAGAGAAAACCTGAGTAAAGACAAAAAGCAACTTTCAGTTCATTTTTCAAACTGAACCATTCAGAGATGGACTTGCATGTGTCCTTCAGATCACTGTCCTTCAACATAACCCAAGTTGTCCATAGCGGGACCAGATCGTCACACCACCGTGTTTGATGATTAGTATGACGTAACCGGACACATAATCTCTTCTTCATCTTTCATCAGTCCACAGAATATTTTCCCTTAAAGACTCGGGGAGCTTCAAGAAATGATTGTAAAGTACAAGGCAGGTCTTTGTTCCCTTTGGTTGGCTGTTGCTTTCACCTTGGAACCCTTCCACCTTTCTGCTGATTCTTTTTTAACACTTTAACTCTGCATTGTTATAGATAATATGTGATATAACACAAGGACACCTGCTCTTTTCTGATGTCAACCTTTAAACACTGAGAGATATCAGTTACTCTGTTTCTCATCATTTCTTTAATTTGAAATCAGAGTTACCTTATATCACCTTTTAAGAAATTTTGAAGATGTCAGAACAGGTTACATTCTAGGTAAATTAACTATTTTGGTTTTTACAGTTAATGCATGATGTAAGAAAGCACAGATGTTTTTTGACGCATGGCACAGGTTGGTTTGGACATCTCTTCCTCTAAATGAATAGGATTCTCATTTTAAATTGTTTGTTTTAATTTACTGAGGTTGTTTTTTTCCTGATATTAGTATTTGTTTGATAATCTTAAAGATGTAATGATGGTTCCTAGAATTTCTAAAAGTAGAATGGGAGGCAGATCTTTTAGTTATCAGGCTCCTCTCCTGTGGAACCAACTACCAGTTTTAGTCCGTGAGGCAGACACCCTGTTTACTTTTAAGGCTAGGCTTAAAACGTTCCTTTCTGATAAAGCTTCTAGTTAGAGTGGCTCAGGTTATCCTGAGCTATCTCTATAGTTCTGCTGCTATAGGCTTAGACTGCTGGAGGACTTAGGGACCCCTTTTTCATCATTCTGCTTCATTCTATCTCTATTCTCCCACTCTGCAGAATCTGTTAGTTCAATCTCCAACGTTCTGCTCTCTCTGCTTTTTCTCATAGTAGCTTCATCTGGTCTGTTCCTGTTTGGCTGTGACTCCATCCTGGAGAGAAATATCAGCTGTGCTGCTGCCATCAACACCTTTGTTTCTAGATGTTGGAGCTTGGCCTGTTTTCCAGTGTAGTCCTGTCTCTCTCAGTGTGACTAACTGGATGTGCTCTCTTCATCCTCTGACATGGGAGCTGGCTCGGAGCTGGTCTGCCTGGCTGTGTGTTTCCTGGACGGGGCCGCCTGTGGAGCTGGTTGACAGTTGCCTTTTGTATCTATGCTTCTTTTTCTATGTCTGCTTCTGTCTCCTTGAACCCCAGTGGGCTTCAGCAGATGGCCGCTCACACTGAGCCTGGTTCTGCTGGAGGTTTCTTCCTGTTAAAAGGGAGTTTTTCCTCCCCACTGTCGCTACAAGCATGCTTAGTGTGAGGGATTGCTGAAGAGTCAATGAGTCGATGCAATCAGCTGGTTTTCCTTAGATAGAAAACTTTTAATCAATCTGACTGGATGATCTGGTTGAACTGTAAAGTGCCTTGAGATGACATGAGTTGTGAATCGGCGCTATAGAAATAAACTGAATATAACTTAAGTGTTACAAAAAAAAATAAAATCAAAGAGGAAGAAATAAGTAAGGGAAGAAAGAGTTTTTCCAGCCCTGTAGAAGATCCCAATGAGGGGTTATTTTTCTGGGGCTGGCAGCAGGCTCAGGAAAAGGCTTCAGTACACGTTTCCAGGAAATTAACATTTAGGAAAGTTGGGGGACATTACTGGTCAAATTAGAAGCACTATTACTGTAAATTCATTACCTTGTGTTGATTATTCACAAAACTGTGAGTTCCTAATTTGAAAGGTAGGTTGTGAGTATTGTTGCTGCGGGGAAGATGAGCCTAGTTCTTACTCAGCCTCATAAAAATGTTATTAATCCTACTGTTTCAGGGAACTGTGGAAGCTCTGGTGAGAGGATCATTTTTCAGTTGCTGCTTTCAAGGTAGATTAGGATGATTCAGTGTGTGAGAATAAGCGGTTAGTTTGCAGAGGAATCTGCAGGGAATGTGGAATAAGACTTAATATATCTGAAATATATTGTAACCTTTACTCAGCATTTATATGAATCCCCCTTTATCTTTGATGCTTTCTATTTTCTTAAATATATTGTGTGAGCTCAGGGGCGGGTTTAGGAAATTTGGGGCCCTAGACAAAGAGAGGCAGGGTCTGTTTTGTGTTGAGAAGACAACATATAAAACAGCATCATTATACAGAAATGTTAATAGAATAGACATCCATTATCTGTTCTAGGTCGTGTCCCTCTCTTCTTGTCCCTTTTCTTCTTGTTTTCCTCTCTATGTTTTGTACTCAGCTGACTTTTCATGCTGTCTCTAAAGGAATGAAAGATTTTTTCCAAGCACTAAGCTCACTTAGCTGATTGCTCCTTCCTGTGTTTCCAAAAAGGCCAAAGTAAATAACCCAGTCCTTCTTTTCACTGTAGACAAGCCATGATCTGCTTATCTGTTCTCCATTTTTCATTTGGATGAAATAATAGCTGCATGAATCATGACAGCAGACAAGATAGAGGAGAGCAGGAGGCGGGGTTACCAATCTACTCGCTCTGGAGAGCAGAGTTCGCTGCTTTTAGATGTTGTCTCCAAAGTCTCCAGTAGCAGAAAAAAGTCTCTAGATTTGGCGCTAGGAGCTTTTTAGAAATCAAAGTGCTAGAGGGGTCTGAAAAGTGGCTAAATATAGCGACTAAAGCGCTAAGTTAGCAACACTGCTCTTTGCATGGTTTGTTTTCAAATGGTCTGTTTGGACCTTTCTGAACATGTGCAGCAAATGGACTGATCCAATATGGTGGACACTGAAGGGGGGGAGGGGGGGTAACTATGCAGGTAAACAGAGTTTTATGGGGCCCCCAGGAATTTGGGGCCCTAGGCAACTGCCTAGTATTGCCTAATGGTAAATTCCCTCCTGTGTGAGCTTCTGAACTTTGGGGGCTTTTGCTGGGATTTAAACCAAACTAGAAACTTTAACAAGAATCCTTTAAAAGGTCAAATTAGAAATAAAACATCTTAGAAATATTCCGCCCAATTTCCTCCCTTTTGAATAGATCAAAACCACAATAAGTTCCCTTTTTCTATCTGTGCCCAGGACTCTTTCATAACCACCCCGCAAGCCTTTGCCTCCCTCCACCTGCCATACAGCCTCTGGCCATGACTCGCTCCTTCTTGAGGAATCGACCAAACTGCTTAGATCAGAACCTTTACAGTGTCTGAACATGATCCTGGTCAATAACTCCGTTCACCGTTTCCTCCACTGTTTCCCCTCCCGCTTTCTACAACACTTTTTCTATGAACTACAAGATTCTCTTGAAAAGAACCATTTAGACCTTGATATCTGCCTTCTGTGAATTGTTTTGCTTTTGAAGCCAAATGATGGCAACAAATGATGCTCTTTTAATGAATTATTTACTTGTGCAAATTCTCAGTCACAAACTGGCTTAAATCTGCTACCCAGGAGTGTTTGTTAACTCTGGTGGCTCAGACTAGAGCATCCTGATGTTTTCAAGCACTTGGAGGCTGATCGTCCCATTTGTGTCCTTGAGTCAGACCTGTTCCTGGTGCATGTTGGACTCAGGCAGGGCTGCCCTGTGTTACCCGTCCTGTTCATAACTTTTCTGCAGGTCTGAGTCTTCAAGTGGAGAAGTTTCTTGGTATCCAGTTCATGGATGAAGGGAGGATGTAAATCTACTAACTGATTGGTGTGGCTGCTGTTATAGTGCATCTGCTGCAGCAGTCTTTGTGGTGAAGAGGGAGCTGACGCTTTACGGTCAATCTCTATTCCTACCCTCATGGTCTAACATCTTGGTCATGACCGATGGAACCAGATCCAGCATACAAGCGGCAAAATGGCAATGGAACAAATCTGGCCTTCCCCAGAGAAACTAGAGGAGGCATCTGGGAAAAGGGAAGTCTGATTGTTCAGATAAGCGAAAGACAGAAATACAGAAATAAAATGGTAAATGGCATGTACTTATATAACGCCTTTTTTCAAGTCAGGAGACTTGACCAAAGCGCTTTACACTACATTCATTCACCCATTCACTCACACACTGATGGTGGCAAGCTACATTGTAGCCACAGCTGCCCTGGGGCTCACTGACAGAAGCGGGACTGCCGTACACTGGCGCCACCGGGCCCTCTGACCACCATCAGTAGACAATGCAGGTGAAGTGTCTTGCCCAAGGACACAACGACGATGAAAGTCAGAGTCGGGGCTTGAACCGTCAATCCTTCGATTTCAGGGCAAAATCCAACATCCAACGCCATTGTCAACGCCACAGAAATAATCTTTAGGCCTTTATTATGATGATTTTTGAACATTGTCATTATATTGAAGATGTACCAGTCAATATTTTTGTGCTTTTTCCAAAACACCATTTACAGAAATCTCAACAATAACTCTGCAAAGTGTACTTTTGGCAAACTTTTCTATTTGAGGTTAAGTGTACAAATGTGTGCCTGTAGCAATGATTGTATTTGGTGAATGCTCTTTGTTTGGTCATCATTGTTTTTATATAGTTTGTAACATAATCTAAAAACGTCTGCAGTGGCTGAGGTTCAAATCTACAGATGCTTATAGGTGATATGCAGTTGAATGTCATCTGCATAGAAGCTTATTTATTACAAACACTGCAAAAAATCTAAATCTATATAAGTCATTTTTTCTTAAAATAAGTGCATTTGTTCTTGAATTGAGGAGGTAAAAGAAACCTTTTGCCAATGGAACAAGACAATTTACACTTAAAATAAGAAAACACAGTTGCATTGTGTTATGTCAAGTGCATATTATCTAATTATCTTATATTAAGAGTAAAATTACTCATTCCATTGGCAAATTATCTAATTTACCTACTCAAATTAAGGATGAATACACTTAATTTAAGAAATTTTTACTTATTTCTAGATCGTTTTTGCAGTGAAGTGCTTAGAATGAGGAGAAAAGGCAGAAAAACCGAAACAAAACTGAACCTTTTTGTAAACCGCAGGACAGGAAAGTGTAGGAAGAACAAAATTAGAAGCTACTTCTAAAACATGCACTCACTCTGATGCATGTAGGGTTAGGGATATAGTCATAGCTGCTCCTCTTTTAACACATTTACATACAGTACATGTGCAGTGTATGTGGAAATGAATTAACCTTTAGGATCCTAGAGCAAAGATTTACTCGGACATGCAGATTTGTGCAACCGAAACCTTAGAAAGTTCTCACCTCCTCCCCAGCGTAAGCATCGTGCCAGGTCATTTCCTGTGCCCAGAGGGAGGATGGCCACTGGAGGGTGTCTGGCAAAGTTAGCCTTATCTGCATACAAGACACAGAAAGTCAAATACTGTTGCTGGCCTGTGATATGGAAACTTCAATTTTAATATTTATGATCAAAGCAAAATGTTTTTTAAGCTCATGATAGCAGAAAACTGATTGCATTTCCTGCCCTGATGGATTATAATTCTACAGTGGCAAAACCCTCTAATCTCATCCGTAATACCAACAGCAAAAATGAAGATTAATGCCTTTAGAGGAGGCTTAAAGCAACAGTAATTTTCCTGTCAATACACATTTATGTTTCAGGTCCGAAGGTTAGAATAATACTACCTATACAATCGAGGATCCAACCCACAGTACCGTCACCTCCACAGGCCAGCACCCGGAAATCAGGGACTTCGTGGAAAAAGTTGAGCCTGGATGGAGAAGAGATCCAGGAGAATTAACCAAAAGCATGTTCGGGAAACAGGTGGTCTACAAACATATTGTCTGGAGAGGAAAATACCCTGTTCTAACCACCAGATGTATTAGGAAGGCTATTTACAGGTGAATAATCCGTTGATTGTGTTTCTTGAGGGACTTTTAAGCCTTAAATGATCTAATGAAGAAAGAGCTAAAAGGCTGATCTGTTAGTGGCCCCTCCAGCTGTGCTGTCTTCACTGGTTTCCCCTGAAACCACAATCACAAAGTGCATGTGCCCTTCAAAGGGACCTTTAATGTATGTGGGGACAAAAGCTTTTATCATTTCCCTTCATTAAAAATACGACTTTGGGCCACAAACTCCTTTTGGACCCTCCATCTGGCCTGTTCCTGTCCAGTCCCGCAGCAGGAGAGGTCATCTCAGAGGAGGGAGAACGACCTCAAACAACTCCTTTTTTAGAGCAGGAAAAAATAATAAAGATGGTGTCTGAGGTTTTTAATTTGAACATTTCTACTGGTGTTTTCCATTTGAAGTGAAAGAAAAATTGATAGGACCATGTTAGCTAAACCGATCTAGGAGTTAAAACTGCCTCTGAAGTTCAAGGAGAATCTAGAAAAACATTGCTATGCATTTTAAATTTTTTTGTTGAAGTGACTGCTAAACATGAAAAAAAATTAAACAATGAAAGGGATGATTCTGCACCATTGCTGCAGAATGTATACACACTGATCATTACTAGGGATGCACGATATAATCGGCTCCCTATCGGTATCGGCCTTAAAACTGAATATCGGACATCGGCCACCCCACCGATATTTAACCCGATATTTGATCAGCTTCTGAGTTTCTAAAGTCTAAAAAAAAATAAAAATACTACTTCTTCTTCTTCCTCAAAAACTTCTTTTTTACAGACTTAAAAACTTCTAAAGACGAGGGAAAAAATATTGATCCATTAAAATATCCCAATATCTTCATATGCTGATATATTGCCATTTAAAAACACCATATCAATCTCTTTTACTAATGAAATATTGCTATATGTCATCGTTATGCTACGAAATCCCCCGAAAATTCACGAAATGTTGCCCTATTTTTATATGTTGATATATTGACGCGGTATCGATCTATTTTACTAACAAAATCTCACAAGAATTTGCAAAATATCTCGAGTTTGTAACAGAACGATGAAATTTCACGCGATTTTGAAAGTAAAATAGATCGATAACCCGTTTTTAAAGATCAATTTGATATCAGCATATGAAAATATATTTGAGTATATTATTTTTCAAAGTGTCAGAAATGGATAACAAAACTGCTATTTTCAATGACTACTTATTTTTGTCCAGCTTTAACATCGGTATCGATATCGGTTATCGGCTACATGAGTTTTAAAATATCGGCATATCGGATATCGCCCAAAATCCCAATATCGTGCATCCCTAATCATTACAGCTAAAAAAAAAGTTATAAACCAAACATTTCATGCTATTTTAATACAGATTTGATCTTTTCCATCATGCACAGAATGTTATGTCAGTTAGCTGCTCTCTCTGAACAAACAATTGGTCAAATGCCACACCCCTTATTCCATATGCTTATTAAAACAGTGTTACAGGTGATGGGCGGCACTATTTTCCTTTACTCACCATCAATCTGTGTGTTTAGCAGATAATAATTAACTAAAGGAGAACTTGTCCTTGTATTAGAGGGAAAATAGTAACTTTAAGGGAGTTATAATGTAGAGGAGGATGAGTTGAATGGATTTAAAAAAGGCTCCTTAGAGCCTCTCTGACACTTGCTTAACACCATAAAACAAACAGCATTTGAATAATACATAAAGATCTATTTTTTAATGTTTGTCATTTGATTTTCTTAAATATCCCACTATGAACTTGAGCTACCATGATCCCAAATAAGGAACGCTATATTCTTTCTGCAAAGCTAAGCAAACAGGTGCAGATTTTAGGGAGTTTCAGCACCGCAGCTGTCTAAATAAGGGAATATAATAACGTGTTTTTGAAGTGTTTCTAACAGAGATATCCTGACTCTTCTCTGGAGTAAGAATAGCTTTGCATTCATGAGTGCTGAAGTTAATATAAATCATATCCATTTACTGAAAAGAGGCTTGTTTTAATATATATTTTCCTCTTAATCTGATTATTCTGATAAAAGTACAAAATGGTGCAATGTGACGCAGCAACTTCATGGCTGCCGACCAATAAAACACATCCGGTGCAGCGGAAACATCAATAACTGTGAAGGTGAGCTAGAATCGTGCATTGGGACTCAAGACTATGCCGTGTTGCAAGATTTCTTTTCCCCAAGCATAGCATTGCTGGAGAGACAAAAACTGCAATCTGTTTCAAATTTGACAAATCCCTTTGTGAGTGACAAGTTACTGCATCCATATATCCTCCTCCCAGTGTTTTGCATGTTCTGATGATCAGCATATTTTTTTTGCATATTCATGTGAGCAAATATGCTAATTTTTGTGCCTACTGTTCTGCCAATTTTAAAGACAATATCCCATTTGAACCTGGTTAATTGATCAGATTGGCAATCACTATACATTTTTTTTACTTGTTTTCAACAGACAAACCTTTAGCAGATCAGGAGTTTAAACAAAAAGGGTGACTTGATTTACAGTAACCAAGAAAAACCTTGTTGGAGAAATCTCTGTCAATCAACCAATAGCGAAACACACGCAGTTCCTGAATATTTACACTTGGACCGGGACTTGCCAAAATCCTCTGAAGGTGGGGCAGTACTCGTGGCAAACATGACGTCACAGAAGTCCCCTGATAGCAACTTGGGAAATTCCAGTCCAGCTAAAGAAGTTAACGGCACTTCTTTCTTACAGAATGATTCAACTTACTGTATAGCTCACTGCTAAAGATGGTACAGAATGGGTGGTTGGCCCACTTACGTTCAATACTTACAATAGGTAAAAATAAATCTGGTTTTAAAAGCAAAGTAAAGCTGTTTCAGGTCTAGTTAGTTTTTGTCATGAGAGATACTTAGATAACTGGATCCTCTTAAAGATTGCAGTTCAGCAAAAGCCTGTTAATCAGCAGCTTTCAATGAATATCAGCTGTGCTGAAGCAGGGAAACCTTCCAGGACCTCCTTTAGATCCTGCATAGCAGTTTGCTAAATTTGGGATTTGGACTTTTGCCTAGGGTAATGGTTCACTAAAAGTGTTTATGGATGTTCTGATATTTTTCATAGACAATCATTGCCAAAGGACCGTATGTCACTATAACCACAGTTAATCTTTACGCCCAAATAGAGCAGTGAATGAGAGTCACACAGACACACATTATAGCCTTTGGAGCCAAAATCTGATCTAATTCAGATGAACCTCAATATTCTTATCATCTTAATGCATCTCAATACAATAAAAGAGCCACTCTGAGGAAAACACCAACAATCTGCAATAAACTAAGCAGAAAAAAAATCATTTCATCGACCAAGGCTAAAGTTTTTAAGGACTTTATGATCTGATGAACTGCATATGGTTGTCCATATTAAATTTAATTAACATCAGAAAGAAGGAGGAAGGAATCCACTGCAAAAATGATCTCAAAATGAGTAAAAATTGGCTAAATTAAGGGTATTTACCCTTAATTTTCGCAGGTAAAAAAGATGATTTGCCAATGGAACAAGTAATTTTACTCTTAAAATAAGGCATCTAGATATTATGCACTTGAAATAAGACAATGCAATTGTTTTTTCTTATTTTAAGTGTAAATTGTCTTGTTCCATTGGCAAACTGTTTCACTTCAAATATTAAAGATTTGAATGGAGGAAGTTTAAGCAAATACAGACTTACCCTAAACCCTTCAATTAGTGACCAGGTGAATGTATAGAAATGGCCGTAACATAAGCCTGAACTGATGCGCACAGAAAGCTCTGGGCAGACCTGAGACGCTGTTAGAGAACAAACATGATCTGCATGTTTGTGTTCTCTCATTTCGATTTGACCCCAAAAATGAAGCTTAGGCAGAAGTTGAACTGCAGAAACTGATTACTTACCCCCCTCTGTCACAAGCCAATCAGTGTTGAACCCCTCAAGCCTAATCACCATCCAGAGTTCATCTTAAAGGGTCTCCAGCCAACAACTCAGTCTGCTACCCAAAGTGCAGGCAGTGGTTGCACTATGTCTAACTTCTATGTGGCTTCATGCTTTCTCATCATAGACAGGTTCTCTCAACCTGTGTTTATCTGGACTTCCATCTTCCAGGTCCCTGAGTGAAGCTCTAGCATCAGCTCACGCAGTCCACTGGATCTCTCCATACAGCTCAAGCAGATCGTCTCACCAACCAGCAGTCTATAGACTGACTAACTCCATCTATCTCCACTCCACCACCAGTTTCAGGCCATCGAAACAAAATTAAACTCTAATGTTTCCTGCCGAGGACTGAGCGACCAAAGATTAAAGTAATTTTATCAGTAAAATTCTTCTAAATGTCTTTTTCTTTCCGCATGAGCTTTTGAGATTGAAATGCCTTTAAAAATGCTTAGATTGGGCCGAACAAGGAAGAAATATTTGACAAACAGAATAGATTCTAAAGAAGAAAAAAACAAATAAAAAAGGAATTACCTTAAAGAGTTCCAGAAACAGTTTAAAAGGATTTTCAATCAAATACCTACTAAACATTAAACTAAAGAATCGTTCTCTCTCTTCCGATGCATTTTGTAAATTATTCTGGACATGTTTACTGACTGAACACAGGAAAAGTTTGGTCACATTTAATGTCCAGGATGAAGAACATTACATAATTGGTAGAACTGAGTCTTTGCCTCAAACAGTTGTTCTGTTTAACCTCTGACCTTTGGTCTTTTTGCATGAAGTATATATGTGGATACTTTGGCTTTTCTCTGGGTGCTCATGCTTCCTCTCACACTCCAAACCAGATGGTACAATTATTTGGTTCTTCCAAAAAAAGTTAAAAAACAATCCGCTGGACTTTGTTCCAAGTTTGAATCCAGGAAGA